GGGATGGCGACTCTGGAGAGTTGGAGATTTTGGGATACTGGGATGGCGACTCTGGAGAGTTGGAGATTTTGGGATACTGGGATGGCGACTCTGGATAGCTGGTGGAGATTTTTGGATACTGGGATGTCGACTCTGGACAGTTGATGGAGATTCTTGGATACTGGGATGGCGACTTTGGACAGCTGGTGGAGATTCTTGGATACTGAGCCGGGGGGTGTGGGCAGCTGGTGGAGATTCTGGGATACTGAGCCGGGGGGTGTGGGCAGCTGGTGGAGATTCTGGGATACTGAGCTGGGGGGTGTGGGCAGCTGGTGGAGATTCTTGGATACTGAGCCGGTGAGTGTGGGCAGCTGGTGGAGATTCTTGGATACTGAGCCGGCGAGTAGGGATAGTTGGTGGAGGTCCTTGGATGCTGAGCCGGCGACCATAGGTAGCAGGTGGAGGCCCTTGGATGCTGAGCCGGCGACCATAGGTAGCAGGTGGAGGCTCTTGGATACTGACCCGCCGAGTACGGATAGCAGGTGGAGGCTCTTGGATGCTAACCCGGCGAGTACGGGTAGTAGGTGGAGGCTCTTCAATACTGACCTGGCTACCGTGGGCAGTAGGTATTGGCTCTTGGATACTGACCCGGCGACCGTGGGTAGTAGGTAGCGGCTCTTGAATACTGACTCGGCGCGGCTCTTGAATACTGACTCGGCGACCATGGGTAGCAGGTGGAGGGTCTTGGTTACTGATCCGGCGGCCATAGGTAACAGGTGGAGTGTCTTGGTTACTGACCCGGCGACTGTGGATAGTTGGTGGAGATTCTTCAATACTGGGCTGGAGGCTGTGGACAGGTGTTAGAAGCTCTTGGGTACGGATGGGGCGAGTGGTGACAGCTGATGGAAGCGTCTGGATACTGATCCGGCGATTACTGGGGGGCACGGGAAGCTTTGGGACACTCACATATTGAGTCTGGAGAGTGGGTAGAGTGTCTTGGGGGCTGACTTGAGGGCCATGGGTAATTGGCGGAAAGTCATAACTCTCACCTTGGGTGCTCGGGGGGTCAGATGGAGCCTCCTCAGACATGTGGCGGTGCAGGCAGGGGGCAGGGCCTGGACGCACTCAGTCTGCCAGTAGCCTCAGTTCCTCCTTCTCGGCACCTCCATGACCACCTGGAAAGTCTATGGTTTCTGTCCGGGTTTAAGCTCGATCCTTCGGCATTTGCATGTCTCTGTCTCTTTGTGTCCTGGTGTCTCTTGCTGTTCAAGGGCAGAGCTCAGGGATCCAACCTGGCCTGCAGCTGGGGCCGGGAGGAGGTTCTATGACAGTTGGAGGGGTTCTAGGAGGTTGGGAGTTTGGCCATGGCCTCAGACTCCATTCTACGCTTTGTGAGTGATGTGGCAGTTAGGGCTGGGGCAGGGTAGGCCCATGTGGGGTTTGGGCAGAGTTAAGACAGGGTCAGAGAGGATTTTGCTGGGTCAGTGAGCGGCGAGGGCAGGCCCAGGGTGGGGTCAGGGTGGAGGGAGCTGGGTGAGAGAGGGACTGGGTTATCGGGAGGGCTAGGTAGGGCCAAGCCAGGGCCGGGTTGATAAGCCCCTGAGATGAATTCTAACAGTTTCTGGAGAGCCTGAGATCTGACCTTATGATTCGCTGTTCCCACCTGCTGCTGTCCCGCCCGCTCCTAGGACCTCTTCTGAATCCGTTTCGTCCTTTTATTCCCTTCTCTAGTTCCATGTCTCTCCTCATTTCCTTTCTTCCTCCATCTCTGTCCCCATTCACCTTCCCTGGGGTCTCAGAGAAGCCTGGACCGCTCCTTGCTCTCCAAGATCGCCCACTCCAGCCGGGAAGAAGAGGAAGTCTGACAAGTGATGGACAGAGATGTGCAAGGTGCGTGGGCCTCAGCTGTGTGTGCGCCCTTTCCTGTGGGGGAGGGGAGGAGACTGTGCACTTATTTTTCCCTTTAGTTTTTGTGGTGACCCTTTAAGAAACCAACTCCACACCTGGAACCCCAGCACTCAGGAGGCTGAGGCAGGAGGATAGGCATGAGTCTAAGGCCAGCCAGGGGCTATATAGTGAGTTCAAGCCAGCCTGAATGACATAGTGAGATGCTGTCTCAGGAAAAAAAAAAAAAAAAAAAGAAACCAACTCCACAAACCTTTATATGACTTTAATTTATATGAATATTGACATTCTTGGGTTTTAGAAATATTTTTATGAGTGCCTGTTTTACAGAATATTGGGTTTCAATGTGGTTTTACATACATGTGTACAACATACTTTGACCGTATCCCCCTTCTACCTCCCTTACATTCCCCTCTCCCCACCCTTACTTCCCTCGCTCTTTTTAATAGTAGTGTAATAGTAGCCTCCCTTCTACTTTCATGCTATCTTTTTATTGCAACTAGATTACGCATATTAGGGAAAACACGTGATACCTGTCTTTCCAAGTCTGGCTTATTTTGATTAATATGATGATCTCTATCTAGTTTCATCCATTTTCCTACAAGTGACATAATTGTAATCTTCTTTATGGCTGAATAATACTCCATGATATATATCACCTTTTCTTTATTTATTCACCGACTGATGGGCACTGAACTGGATCCATATCTTGGTTATTATGAATTGTGCTACAATAAAGCCGGGTATGCAGGTGTGCTGTAATATGCTGACTTTCCTTCCTTTGGTTAAATACCAAGGAGTGGTAGCGCTGGGTTCTATACTAGTTCTATTTTTAGTTTTTTGAGGAACCTCCATCATGATTTCCATAGTGGGGGTACTAATTTGCATTCCTTCCAGTAGTGTAGGAGGGTTTCTTTTCCCTCATATCCTCGCTAGCACTAGTTTTTGGTAATACTAGAGATTGAACTCAGGGCCTTTGCATTGAGCTATACCCTCAGACCCTTTTCTTTTTCTTTTTTTAAAGAAAAGGATCTTACTAAGTTGCTGAATTGCCCAGGCAGCCCTCAAACTGGCAATCTTTCTGCCTCAGCCTCCCAGAGTATGGAATTATGGGCCATGCCACCATACCCAGCTTGTGTTTTGTATTCTTGATGATAGCCCTTGTGACTGGGGTGACACGAAATATCAATGTAGTTTGTTTTTTGAGGTTCCACTAGCTTTATCTGAATTGAAGTTGGTTTTCATTGCATTTAGATAATTTATCTCATCTCAATTTTCATTGCAGAAAACTGAGGCCGGTCCTCAAATCCAGTCTTTCGGCTCTGTCTCTCCTGGTGTAGTTAACAAAACAGAGTAGTTTAACTTCTATTTTTTTTGTTCTCTGTCATTGCATGGAGGCAAATATTGTCATGTCTACAGACTTTTTTGCATGCTTTTTCTAGTAGAGTTTAAAAGACCCTCTGTGTCCTGTAATTCTCATCAAAATATCAGTCACAAACCATTTCATCTGAAGATAAATTTAAACTGACTTAACCCACTGGGAAGACTCACACAAATCCATAGTTTCTCGATATCTTTCTTGGGGCTAAACAGCCAAAATTAATCTGTAGCTGGCAAGTACCAAAGAGTGGTCAGTCCGACAAGGCCTGTGAAGATCGTGCCAGGCTTTGAGCTCAGAGAATTACACAGACTTCTGTCCTGACCAGAGTGGATGTGGTAGAGGTGTTCAGGAAGGAGACAGAGTGAACAAGCCAGGGGTTCAGACAGTCATTTGGAGCACGAAGTCTTGACATGAACTGCTGTCTGGGGGTCTGGTGCAGGGCCACACAATGACTTCTCAGCATCCAGCCCCAAAGGCTTCCTCTCATGCCATTTGAAATCCAACAACTTGTAAGCTTGAAAAGGTTGTGTCTCTCACTGTCTCACTGTGGTAGGTTTTGTTTCTTTCAGGCTGATGTAACCATCACACATAAGTAAAAGTGTTGGCAAGACAGTGACTAAGCTTTAGCTCTTGACAGATTTGTGGTCTTGTCACGGGGGAGCAACTCCCAACCTGGCAGATGTCAGATGTGTCATTGTAGAATTTTTTTTTTTTTTCCTCCTTGGTTAGGTTGATTCCTACATAGTTTATTTTTCGATGTTATCCTCAGTGGAATTGTTCTCCTGAATTTTTTTTTTTGTTTTTGAGACAGGGTCTTACTTTGTAGTGCTGGCTGCCTTGAACTCACTATGTAGCCCAGGCTGGCCTTAAACTTGCTGTGATTCTCTTGTCTCAGCCTCCTGAGTGCTGGGATTACAGGCATGTGCCGCCACACCTGGCTGACTTAATGTTTAATAATGGTAAAAGTTGGTTTTAAGATACTACTGATTGTATGATGCACCCTAGTTTCAGAGGTGTTAAAAATGCATTTTAGAATCCGTAAATGGTGATATTCTGTTGTGGAGTAGTTGAGATATTTGGCTTCTAAAACAGGGTGTCACAATGAAGTAACAGTGGTTTAAAGGATAAAAAGTGATTTCTGTCATACATGAGGCCTGCGGCCAGGGTCTGGGTCCCTTCCGTCCTTTTGCCACCCCCGCCCCCGTCTGTCTCTGTAACTCTTCATCCTGTTTACATTTCATCCAGAAGAAGGGAGAAGGAATAAAGCTCTTCCCTTTTACAGCTTAAGACTCTTCTGTTCGTATCCCATTGGCCGACACGCAGCCATATGCCCACAGGCTACAGGGGAGCCTGGGAAGTGAAGTCTTTGTTCTGCCTTTCCCCAGTGAGAGCTCAGCTTCTGTTCTGCTGCATACAGGGAGGACTTAGAGACTTCACTGCCTGCTGTTGGGCTGTTACGTGTCTCCAACCCTCTTGTTGGACATTTAGATTGTGTTGCCGCTCAGTGTTTGTCACGTCTGATCTTGACACGTGTGTGACTGTCTTCTGGTGGCTCTGTGAGCTCCCAGAGGGCTGAGGCTGCCTGGCTCCCAGTACTATTTTTAGCACTCAGCACAGGTTTTAGCAATAGTATTGCTTAATAAATGTCTGTTGAATGAATAGATTATCATCATTATTAGTTTTGCCAGGGCCAGATATCATATTGCTTTTTTTAGGTTTCTTTTTTTTTTTTTTTTTGTTTTGAGACAAGGTCTTACTACATAGCCCAGGCTAGCCTTGAACTTGTGGTAATCCTCTAGCTTCAGCCTTCAGAGTGCTGGGATTACAGGTGTGACCCCTACATCCAGCTTCAATTCTTGTTACTCTTGTTTGTTTGCTTATTTGAGTTAGGGTCTCCCTATGTGGCTTAGACTGGCCTTGAACTCACTGTGTTATCCAAGTTGGCCTTGAACCCATGGGACCCCTCCTGCCTCAGTCTCCAGAGTCCTGGGGTTACAGGCTTGTGCCACCACAAGTGTGCCCAGCGAAAACACACATTAAAAAGATGTTTACTGTCAAAAGATCCCTCCAGCACACATAGATAATTCTAATATGTGATTTTTCTTTGTATAACAAGAAAAACTGTTGAATTGACTTCTAGGAAAGGCAAAAATAGGAATTGTACAAGACAGGAGAAGGGAAATATGCAATCATATCTGTAGATGAGTCTGTATCTGTATCTCACTGTATCCACCCATCTACCACGTGCTCATCCACTGATTTTTCACACATGCACACATGCACAGAAAGAATTCTATCTTCTTTTCCTTGGGTACATTGCCGATGAGCCAGCTTGTGGTCAGGGTATTGTGCCCTGATAGTCCAGACCTTGTGCTGTATCTATCACTTATCTGCTGTGTGCCCCCGTTTCCCCATCAAAGAAGGAATCATAAAAACAGTGTTTTATTTACGTAACATCCAGGGGTGCTGGTTACACTGTCCTCCTCAGCCCGGGCATTTTCAATTGCTTTGCTCCATGCTCTTCTAAGATGTAAATTAGTACTTTTGTTTGTTTGCATTGCTTTGATAAAATCGGCCATCTTTTCATGTGAAAAGACTTTGAACAGTCTCTTCCTTCCCTTTTTACCCTTTCCTTGTTAAGCACTCATCTTTTCCGTGTCTGCTTAGGAGCCGTTCATGCAGTAAGGGTGTGAGAGGCAGTCGGGTTTTCAGCGGTTATCTGAGACTAGATTGCCCAGGGGGGAATCATGGCTCTGCCCTGACCAGCACTGTGTGACTTTGAGCACATCGCTTAACTCCCCTGTTAAGTCTATTTATCACTGGAAATAATAACAGTTCAGGGGGTGGCTGTGAGGGCATATGGGTGAATAACACATGCAGGCGCTAGGAACTCAGGTGTAATAAAGACCTGCTGAGCTTTCTGCTTCATAGCTGCATAGTTTCTGTTTCCATCCATAAACTCTTTCCTGAATTCCAGGCCACTATGCCCAGATTTCTCTGAGATACACTGTGACTGCTTCACAGAAGATGAGAAAGAAATGATTATTATTGGAGACCATTACTGTAGTCACCCATTCATCCATCCATCCATCCATCCAATGCTCTTTTTTTTTTTTTTTTGAGACAGGCCTTACTATGTAGTTTAGGCTGTCCTTGAACTTATGGCAATCCTCCTGCCTCAGCCTCCCGAGTGCTGGGACTATAGGTGTGGCCACCATGTCTGGCTGTCAATGTAATTTTACTTAACAAAAGTCAGAAGCTCTGTACCAGGCAATGTGAATATGGCAGAAAATGAAATAGATTTGTTTCCTACCCTCCTGGAAGTTTCTTGTGGAGGACTGATAGACAAGAAATACTTAGGCAAGTAATTGATTACAAGGCTGTGGTCTGCCAGTGCGGGAGAATACCTTGCACCGTGGACCATGCAGGAACTGAGTATGGGGGATCGGGACTCAGGGATGGAGGTGTGAGGGAAGTGGTGCTGGAGTTGAGACCTTAAGGGTGTTCAGGTGGGCTGGGCAAAAGTGGGCAGGGAATGTCCCAGAGGGAGACAGCAGCCAGAGCGGCCGGGGTAGGAAAGTCTTTGGTTGAGAGACCCTGGGAAGCTGGTGCACTGGAGGTAAGTGCAGGATGGAGAGTCGGGGTGACAGTGGGAAGACTGATGGAGCCTGGATGCTTGGCGCATATGGGAGGTGCTGTCAGCGTCCTGCTCTGAACCCCATGGTCTTGCCGTCGTTAACAGGGCTGTGCCTTGGACTGAGATTTAGAACAGGGGTGGAGATAAGGAGATAACGTGAGAGCAGAGCTCGAGCAGGGGGTGGGATTGAAGACAAAGGAAGCAGTCTGAGCTTGGGAAGGGGCGACAGAGTTGGCGTTGGGGTGCGGAAGGGGACTGCGGGTGTGTCTGGAAGTAGAGATGGGGCGGGGGCTGTGTCTGGGGCTTAGGAGGGGGAGAATAGTGTGAGTGAGATGGATCAGAGGTGGCAGTGGAGGGGAAGTTAAAGTGAGGCATGGGACAGGAGTGGTGGGGATGTGCTGTGGTTGGGGTGGGGCAGGGATGGGGAGACCGTCACAGGTGCAGGGGATTTCAAGGGATAAAAGGTGGCCTCCGGGTAGGGATGGGAATAAAGATGTAGGCCCCCCCCCACTCTGTTCTTTCCCAGCGTACATGGTCTTTTCCTGGGAGGAGGACCGCAAGATGGTCCTGCGGATCTGGTCTCTTGTCTTCGGCATCCTCGCGACCCTGATGTTGTTGAGCACGATAGGCGGGCGGATGGCTTACGTGCAGGGCTCCTACACCGGCTATATTGGCTTCTGGACTGACTGCAAGAGGCACAAGTGTGCCAGCCTAGGCCAAGTCACCGGTCAGTGGAGCCAGCAGAGGCTACAGGGCCCTCCAGACTAGCTCTAGGGGGCTGGGGTGGAGGCCTCCATGGGGCCCCTCTGCGGAAGGAGCTTAGGATCTCTGGGGTGTGGGAGGGTTGTCTCAAGGTGTCTGAGACTGCCTTTGTGGGAGTGGACTTTGTAGGCAGCGACGTAGGTGATATGGGGGGATTTCGAGGGTGTCGTGGCCAGATTCCGGCATCTGTGGGGCAGCGCCTGCTCACGGGTATCATGGGGATGACTCCGTGGTGGGCTTGAGTGACGACCGCGGTTGTTTTTCACCCCACTCCCAGTGCTCATCCACATGAGTCAGGGCTTCATGATTCTGGCCCTGGCCCTGTGCGTGTTCCTCCTCCCCTGCATGGGCCTTTCCTTCTGGTCTGGGTTCCACCGCCTCAACAAGATCGACGCCGTCTTCAGTTCCCTCAGCCTCAGTATTGGTAAGTGTAGGCTCAGGCCAGGGGCGCCCCGGTCTCCAGCCTCTTCCTCCTGCAGTCTGCCTCTGCCCACGTCTCTTGCTGTGTGTCTCAGTCTCTCTCAGCGGCAGGGCGTGTGTATGGGGTCTGTTTCCCACTTCTCGTTTATTTCCCTTCTCTCCAGGTATCTTTCCATCTGTCACATATGTGTGTCTGTGTTTCTTTCTGCTTGCCATGGAGGGTGGAAGAGGAAGTCTACCTTCTCTTACTGTGCGTCCAGGGGTCACTGTCCAGCCCCCGGTCCGTCTCTGGCCCCACCCCAGTGCAGGGCTCCTGATTCTCCTCAGCTTGACGCTCTTTGTAGTCAACTGTAAGGCGCTAGAACCAGAGCCCCAGCTGGCCTTCCAAGAGACTTTCTACCTGTGCTGGTGCGCCTGCGCCTTGATGCTGTGCGCTGGTGAGGGCGGGGCCTCGGCAGGGGCGGGGCCGGGGATGGGGGCGGGGCCTAGCGTCTAACCACGCCCAACTCTCCCCACCCCAGGAGCTGTGTCTCACTTGAACCAAGCGGGCATATGGAGCATAGGGGTGCTCCCCAAGGAGTGGCGAATAAGCTATCGCCGGTGGACCGTGAACTGCTCCTCGCTACACGGATCCCAACAGAAGGGCGCAGACATGATGCTTGGACACACTCAGGACCTGCCCGATCCTGGCGCCAGCCAAGACAGTCCATCGTGTAACACCCTAGATCTTCCGGACACTGACTGGTAACCCTGACCAGATGCCGGCCCACCACTCAGCACCACCTGGCTGTCACTGGCCTCCCCGAGGCCCCGCCTTCTGAAGAGAGGGGAGGCGTCTCCGCCCCTCGAGCCCTGACCCCGCCCACTGGGTCTCCATAGTGCCCCACCCCGGAAGTCCGAGCACACTCCTCCATTCTGCCCCTCCCAGCAGATACCCTTCTACCTTCCGGTCCCTGAGTCCGGGCTGAAGGGCTGGTTTGTGTGGCTCCATCCTGGGTGCCCAGCCCATACTCCTAAGGAACTCTGGGTCCTGTCAGCCGGGGATTACGCCTCAGCACTCTCTCTGAGATCCAGTCCCACCCCAGCTGCTCAGTCCTGTCCCAGGTGAGCACATACGGCAGTCTAGCGTTTGGTGCATCCCACACTTCGTCAGAACAGGCTCCTCCCTGTTAGGGCGTGGCTCGTCAAAACATCCCCCCCGCCCCCCCCCTCCCGCGTCCTGGCTTCCCCTCCACAATAAAAGGCAGGTACCATCCAACCCTCTTGGGGTCAGACCCTCCATTGTGCTTACCTGGCCGTCAGGGCAGGGTCGGGGGGCAGTGTCCAACTGGCCTGCATCCCTGACTTGCCCTGTAGGGTATGAGCCTTTTCCTCCCTTCGTCATATCACGCCCCCTTCCCTTCCCTGCTTGGGACTGCACAGCTGGGAGCCTCGAGGACAGTCTAGCCCTCGGCCTGTGGGTCCCAGGTGGATGTAGGTGCCCGGCGTGTGGAAGGTCAGATAACGCCAGAACTCAACGCTCATTTGAAGCATTTTTGTTTCATTGGGAGCAGGGACAGCATGGGGCATTCAGGGGTTGTCTGCTTTGGTTTTCTCTATCCACTCCAGGTACTGTTTCACATTGGTGTAGATGCCGGGTGTCTTGGGGAGGCCACACGGGCTGTGGCCCCATGATGTGATACCTTGCAGCATGCCATCACAGACCAATGGGCCCCCCGAGTCACCCTGGGGACACAAGAGGGAGAGAGGGGTTAGAAGCCTGGCTTTGTTCTACCTGCAAGCTCAGCTTTGGACCAGGGGACACCAGAGCCCACTTCCCAAAGGCAGGTGTGGGTTCCGGCCCAGGAGCAAAGTCAGGAACAGAGTTCTGGGCAGAGGGGAAGGGACATCCAGGGAGAACAGGGCCATCTGCAGAAGGGCAGCAGGAACGAGCGGGGCTCCTCTCAGCAGCCCGGGTCCTGGAGGCTTTTTCTGAGTAGACAGTACACAGGGAGGGACAGGGTGACACACAGCGGGCGCACGGATGGGGTGGAAAGGAAGGAGGAGGTGGGGCACAGATGCCAGCTTAGTTCTCAGGTCAGAATCTGAGTCCCCGGCCCCAGCCCTTCACACGCCCCAGTGAGGGGCTGGCTCACCACACAGGTGTCTTTGCCGCCTTCCAGGTGCCCGGCACACAGCATGCTGTCTGTCACCTTGGAGACGTGGGCGTCTTCACACTTCTTTTTAGGCAAGATTTTGAGGTCCACACACTGCAGCTCATCTGGGTACACAGCTGCAGGCCAGGGCAAAAAAGAGTTGTGTCCAGACCCAGCAGGTCCCTCACCCCAACTCTGTTGGACCCGGGGGTTGCCCCAGGCCACGTGGTCTGTCCCTGACTTACGAAGGCTGGCATCTGGCTCTATGCTGCCCCAGCCCGAGGCCACGCACGAGGTCCCTGGCGTTGCGTCTTTCGTGGGCAGCTTCACGACCTGCACGGAGTCTGTGATCTCGGCCGGCTCCTCCAGGCGGAGCAGCATCAGGTCGTGGCTGTAGTCGTCGTCTGGGTTTTCAGGGTGCGGCTCCAGGAGGCTCATGTTGAAGCCTGGGTGAGGGAAGCTCTTGCTGATGTGGACGTGCTGAACTGTGTCTTCATCGTCAAAGAGGCTGTGGCGACCCAGCCAGACCTGGTACTCGCTGGGGTGAAAAGGAGAAGAGGGAATGAGGAGAGAGGAGGGGACGAGGGAGGTGGGTTGGGGGGAAGCAAGGACGAGGGCCCCAAAGAGAGAAAGAGAAACAGAGTGAGAAACCTGGAGGAGGGAGGGAGAGAGGGAAGGAGGGCAAAGATGCAGCCCTGGAGAAGGAGAGAGTCGGGGAGGAAACAAAGGCGGGGGAGGTGCGAGGGCAAGAGCACAACGGAGGAGAAGAAAGAGTGCACGAGGACGCGGGGACCAGGGGACGGAGGGCACAGGGAGGACCAGGAGGCAGGAAGGACGCGTGCGGAGACACACAGGAGTCTGAGACCCTGGGAGAGAGGCAGGGCAGGGCCGGGGAGTGGGCGGGGTAGGGCGGGGGAGTGGGCGGGGCAGGGCGAGGCAGGGCAGAGAAACACAGCAAGCAAGGAGGCGATGTGGGCAGCAGAGGAACCGGGCAGACAGCGAGGGGAAGGAGAGGGAGGAGGCTGGGGTGGGCAGGGGGCCTGAGAGCAGCTGGGCTGCAGCTGGGCACAGCTGAGGACTCCCAGCAGGCGGCCTGGACCCCAGCCCAAGGCCAGGGCCACCTGCCCGCCACCAGCCCGCCTCCTCCCGCCCCTCCCGCCCGGCTCAGGCAGGCCTTCCTGAGCCTCCCACCGTGCAACGACAGTGCTGCAGGCACGGGGTGGGCAGGGTGAGGAGCATCCCACACGGGTTGGTGTGCACCCGTTCCTCTCCTCTGGGCTCCCGGGGTCCATGCTGGGAGTGTGGTCAGCGGTGGTGGGGAGGGGACTAAGATGGAGGTCCAGAGAGAGACGGAGACTTGAGTGGGGGACACACCGTGACAGAGACGGCCGCAGGGACACCCGGACGTGGACAGAGATGGGGAGACGCAGAGACACTGGGTCAGAGGAGAGAGGGAGACAGAGAGACTGAGACCGAGACCCAGGCAGCCCTGGCCGGGTGGTCATACCCCAGGGCTTCTCCTCTGGCCTCCCTGATCAGCACCTTCCTCCCTCCCTCAGGGCCCAGCCTTGTCCTAGGTCCACCCGGAGCGGTGCTGGCTGTTCAGTCCTCGGGACACCCATGCCCTCTGCCCAGACCCCCACTCACTCGCTGATGCAGTGGGCGGCGGTGAGCACCCACTGAGGGTCCACCAGGACGCCCCCGCACTTGACGTTGCTGAAATGGTACAAAGCCACCTGCCAGGGCTGGGAGTCCTTCAAACATTCCTCGCCTCCTATCACCCGGGACTGGATGGGCGGTGCCGCACCTGTGGGAGGGTCAGCAGCAGTGGGATTGGCAGGGGGCTGGGGCACTGGGCCTGGACAGGGAGGCCGAGGTCTGAGGCTGCGGCTCTGAGGACAGGGTAAGGGGTTTGGGGTAGACACCCGAGTGCAAGAGCTGTCCTTAAACTGTGAGTTAATAGCTGGTCCTGGACGGGGAGCTTTAAATTCTTAAGCAATGCTGAGCCTGGCAGAAGACATGGAGCAGCATCAGGGGTGGGGTCAGGGCGTTAGGGTCGGGGCAGAGGGGTGGGAGGTAGGAGAGGGAAATTCCAGACACCAGGGGTGTGGGCCTGTGAGAAAGGGTCAGAGGCTGGGAGAGGGGGATTTGGAGTATTTGGGGGCTCCTAGGCTGGGGAAATAGGCCTGGATTGGGCTTTTGGAGTTTGGGAAAGGATGCTTCTGAGACAATAAGTTTTCTGGGCAGAGGAATTTGGGGGTCCCTGGATTGGGCTAGGAAGGTGAGCTGCACTGAGGGAATTCAGGGTTTCCAGGTCAAAGGGTAAGGAAAGGAGCAGGGTAAGGCGAGGAGTGGGCTCCTGTGAGGCTTCGGGGTCCTTCCTGTGCTGTGTATGGGGCAGTGGCGTGTGGGGGGGCCCTGAGAATACCGCTGTGGCCTGGGCTGCGACAGGGCTCCGAGGGGGGCAGTATAGGGTGAGGGACCAGCTCCACCACTCATGGGGATGGGGCTCAGGGTCTGAGGGTGCTGGAGGCAGTTCCGGGACAGGCTTGGAGAGAGGGTTAGAGCAGGCCGAGTCACCACGGAGAAGACCCGCCTGATGCGGGGCCTCAGAGTCACATTTTGCGGTCTTGGGGGCGTGCAGGGCAGGATGGCCTGGGTGGAAAGTATTTGAGGTCTGGGCGTCGAGAGCCAGAAAACCAGAGCTGTTCAGAGGGGTTTGGGCGCGGAAGGGATGGAGCTTGTGGGGGGGATGGGAATCTCTGCAGCAAGGAGCCTGTGGTGGGCGGGAGGGCTGGGTTGGCTGTGTGTGGGCCGGGAGCCCCCATACCAAGGCGGGTGACCTATCTGGTGTCCCACACCACTTAGTTTGGGAAGCAGGGTTGTCTGTGGGGGGCTGGGGAGCATGGTGGGGACCAGATGTCAGCATCTGGAGGACACAGCTGAGAGCTGACAGCTGGACAGAGAAAGCCACTGGGTTTGGTGGATGTGGGGTCTCAGGAGTCAGGCCGCTGGGTCCCAGAGGAATAGGGAGTTGGAGGGGATGATCAGCATCTCAGGGTCTGAGAGGCACAGATGGCCCAGGATGGTTCCCCTTGGAACTGGCGAGGGAAGACGCGGGAGTAGCGCCCTAGGGTGGGAAGGTGGACCAAGAGGGGTTGGCCTTGTGGAGGGGCTGGGAGAGGCAGGAGAGAGCCCAGTACCCTGGTCTGGGTGGTCTGTGGGCTGGAGGGGCGAGGCTGGGTGCTGGGCAGAAGGGAAGGACTCGTTGAGGTGGGGAGGCCAGCATGAGAGCCAGGGTCTCCGCGCCCTCCCGCACCCCCGCACGCTCTCACCAGTCTCCCCCAGGACCAGGGCGAGGCATAGAACCAGGAACCGCATGGTGACACAGGTGCCCAGGGCCAGGCAGACGGTGAGCTGCTTGCTGGGGAAGCTCCTTGGGGAGCCTTTAAAAACCCTATCCCCCAGAGCCCCGCCCCTGCCCTGCTGGCACTGAGATGCTGGCCAAAGCTCCGCCCCTGCTGGCCGGCCCCCAGAGCCGCTGAAGTGGGGAGGCCCTGCACCTGGTGTCCTGCAGGCTCTGGGTCAGGCTGGGTGCATTCCCAGGGCTGAGGCCAGATGGGGCAGGCCCTGCAGCAGCTGAGGTCTCGCTGTGGAGGACAGGGCCAGTGAGACAAGGTGGACGGAGGAGGATTAACTGACCTCCATTCAAAGCCCTGTATACCTAAGCTCCAGGTAAGGCCCTATACATGGAGACCCAGCGTGCCCTCAAATACCAGCAGTGAGGACTCTAATCCATGTGCCACTCAGAGCCAAGAGAGCAGCTTTTCAGCCGCCAGCTCTCTCTGATACATAAGGCTTTCTTTTCTTTTCTTTTCTTTTTGTGTTTTTGAGACAGGGTCTAGTTATGCTGCTCAGGCTGGCCTTGAGCTCACTTCGTAGCCCAGGCTGGCCTCAGACTCACAACGATTGTCCTGCCTCAGCCTCCTGAGTGCTGGGATTACAGGTGTGTGCCACCTCGCCTGGCAAGGCTTGGCTTTCAGAATGCCCTGTTTCTTGTACTCCTAGCCCAGTAGCAGGTGCCCACATTTATTGTTCTGTTCATAATATGTACTTGTGGGCATACATTGCCACAGTCCTGGCACTCTTAGGCCCAGGAGTATGAAGTGTTGGGGTCTCACAAAGTAAGTTCTCTACCACTTCCAAATCTAATGCTCCCCAACAAAGGAGGGGTCACAGTGACCCCCCACCCCTTCTTCCCAGATGTTTCATCTCACAGTCCCAGAAATCTAGGCTGCCTGCCCTCTTACATCGAGATTCTCCCCGCAGATGCTAATTACCACCAGCATGTGGCCTCTGTAACATTTAGATCTCCAGACCTAGACTTTGGTACAGACACCAGGTTCATTTGCTTCAATATTCCCAACCTTGAAAATCGCACTTTCGGGTCTCCGGGGAGAATCAGGAACAGATTTCTGAAGTCTCAAGCCCATAGGCTTCCGATACATTATCTTGACTTTGGTAAAACTGAAGCAGCTCATGGAGTCCCAGCTTTTGCTGTGTGTCAGGAATCTGGCCGAGGAATGGAGGGCGTTCACCTTTCTGCCATGGCTATGAGGGAGCCTAGCACTAAATCCTGAAGACAGAGAAGCCATTCTTGGTAACGTGGTATGTGCTGGGTCCTTTCTCTGGGATCCAGTGCTGCAGAATACTTATCCAGTGTCAGACACTTCTGGTCAGTGTGTGTGAATCACTTCATTTAATCCTCACAGCAGCCGTGGGAGGCAAGAGAGAAGAGCAGTCCAGTTTTACAGGGGGGAACCTGAGGATGAGTGAGGTTGGGCCCCCTATTCAAGATTACACATCTGGTCATCTGGGGGACTGAGGCAGTGGATGAAATGGACAGCCCACCCGGACTCTCAGTCCCCACCCATCCCCTGGTTCCCATTTCCCTTGATCGCCACAAGAAAATCACGAAAGCTCCTACAGAGAAGCTTGTATCTGTGGTGTTATCTCAGTGGTTTTTTTTTTTGGTACTGGGAATTGAACTCATGACCTCACGCTTGCCAGGCAGGCGCTGTGCCGCTGAGCTATATCCCTGGCTCTCTTGGTGTTAAACAGATTATCTTGAACACTAACTTTGGCCTCAGGTGGCACCAGTCCTTGGCTAACACCTGAGACTTGGATGGGAGCTTGGGGAATGGTTCACTTCTATCCTAGGTCGGGATGGGGCTGCTGGCCGGCCATGGGGACTTGTGCTCAGTCAGGGACACAGGTGTTAGGGCAATTAATTAGTTCCTCTTCATGGTGTCCCTGATCCACTGCAGGTAGCGGCATACTTTGGTATGGATGCCAGCCTTGGTAGTAGTGTCACAAGGAGCGTCACCCCAGGACACAATGCCCCACAGGGCACCTCCACAGATCAAGGGTCCCCCGGAGTCACCCTGTGGGGAGAAAAGGGGTTTTGAGTTGAGTGGGAACTTCCTGAACTCAGTAGCGTCATTTACAATGTCATCACTGACAATGTCAATCAAAACCCAATACAACCCAATTTAACCCTAACCAATCCAACCCAAATCTGAGCCAGCACAACCCAATAGGATGAACCCAAGCCCTGTCCAGCCTTACCCTCAGGCAATCCCAACGCAGCCCAACCCGTACCTCTTCCCCATTCAGAATCAAAGCAAACCTGTATCCATCCTCACACCCCATGTACCCCACCCCATCTTCATATTTTCTGCATCCTCTCAAAACTCTGCACACTCTAGTTCATATTTCCCATCCAAAATCAACCTCATTCCCACTCTCAACCCCAGTTTATCCTGTCGCAAGCCAATGTCCACTCTGTCCACCCCAAACACAACCCAAGTCTGTGCTCATCCCTGACCCCTAAGTCCAACCACTGTCCCAAGGGGTCTACTTATTCCATCTCCAAACCTAACCCTAGCATCTTCTCTGGCTCAAAGCAAACGAAACCCAAGCCTGTCCCAACTCCTGGACCTGTCGCTGTCCCCCTTCTTCCACCTGATGGCCCCTCTTGGCTCTGACCTCCCAGGAGTCCGTGCCTCCACCCTCTGCCTGGTGCACACCATGGTGTCCATCAGGTGTCCTGGGTAGCCCTTGCTACAAGACGCTTGGCAGATAATACGGATGTTGGCACAGTGCAGGGTGTCGGGCACAGTCACAGGGGAAGACAGTGGGTATGGATATCCATATCCATACACTTCGGCTTTTTTTTCCCCCTGGTACTGGGAATCAAACTCAGAACCTTGCGCTTGCCAGGCAGGGGCTTGTGCCGCTGAGCTACATCCCCGGTCCTACTTTGGCTTTTGTCCCCTCCATCCAGGGCTCCTCAAGGCCTGATAGCTAGGTCCATCCCTTCACGCACCTTGTGACTCGGGGCTTCCTGTGGCCCCCGGCTTGTTGTCTGACACCAGGCCCCAGCCGGACACCACGCAGGGCTCACCAGGCAGGGGGCAATGCGTAGGCAGAGCCACAGGTCGCACCTGAGGCGTCAGACGTGCGGGCCGAGCTAACCGGAGCGGCATGACGTCATGGCGGTGGCTACGCGCCTCGTAGTGTGGATGTGGGATGCTGCGAGAGACGGCCCGCAGCTGCTCGGGGCCGTCGCGCTTGCGCAGATTGTGCTCCCCCAGGCGCGCCTTCATGAAGCTGTAAAGACTAGACAGAAGGAGCCAAGTGGGCCACCTGGGGGCCTTCAACCCTTTGGGAGTCCCGAGACCCCATTGCCCTTCCCGGACATCCTGAGGTCAGTGGCTCGGGACATTTACCCTGAGGGACCCAGGAGTCCCAAGTCTGGCAGATACCTGCAACTCAACCTCCAGGCTTGGACCGTTTCTTCCTCCAACTTCTCAGATCCCTAGACTCTTGCCCCACCAGGGACTCAAAAGATGGGCCCTTTCCAGTCCTCACTTCCCTCCTACAGGGACTCAGAACCCATACCCTTCCTCACCCAGGGCTTTGGCGTCCGTCTCTTCCTCATCCAGAGCCCAGGATGTGGACTCCACAGTCCTGGCGCCAGCGTCTGCCTCCTCACCCCTGGGAGTTCCTACCCCCGGCCATGCCCCCCACCCCCAAGCCCTGACTGCATACCGGGTCCGGCAGTGGGCAGCTGTCAGCACCCAGTGTGGGGAGATGAGGGGAGCCCCGCAGTTGAAGCGGCTATGCTCGTAGAGGACCACTTGCCACGGCTGCGTGTGGGACACACACTCTTCGCCTTCCCGCACCTTGTCGCTGTCCTGGGTTGCTGGGAGAGGGAGTGGAGCATCACCGAGGACAGGGGCTTTACAGGGTGCCCTGCACCCCGCTAATACCCTCTCCTCCTTGTGCTTTTCATCTATGCCTTCTCCCCTTTTTTGGACAGATCTGGAATTGAACCCAGGGTTTTCACAGTGAGCTCCAACCCCAGCCCTTCTAAAAACATTTTATTTTGCTACAGAGGCTTGCTAAGTTACTAAACTGCCAGGGTGGGCTTGAACTTGTTCACAAGTTCCTGCCTCAGCCCCCCACAGTGCTGGGCTTAGAGATGTGTGCAATAAATGTCCAGCTCCCTGTTTCTTAAGGAGTCCTCCCTGTCTGCTCTGAAGCCAATTCCTCCGTGGCTGCTGCAGCTGCTCCCTGCTGTAAAACTCCAGCTCCCACTCTGCGGACCCTGGGGGAGAGAGGACTGGGAGAAGACCAAAGAAGGCAAGATGTTCTTGGTGACAGGGGTGGAGCAAGGACACCGGGGACAGTTTCAGACAGGAGATCACTTGGAACCGGTCACTCAAAATGAGCAAGTGTCACAGCTGTCAAGTGAATGTGGCCACTCAAAATGCATGACGCATAGTGTTGGCTGCATATCTCAGCCAAATTCCTTGTACTGTGCAAGACACCGATGTGGCTGGCCAAGGTCACCGACACACATCCATGCACAACCAGGCTTGCAAACATAGGCACGCAGGGGCAGAAAGCCAAAGTCCACTCGCAGGCGCAGAGGTTACAGCTTCTAGAACCACAGCGGAGACGTCCAGGGGCGTACATGGACAGGGGCGGTTCAGACACGGTGTGCATGCACAGACACGCAATCTATGCATGCGCACAGAACACTGGGTGTGAGTAGGACCTAAACGCACGGGCTCTGGGGTGGGTCTTGATGTGCACACTTGCACATGTGGGCTGGACAGAGAAGGGGGGGCCCTGACCCTGGGCTCAAATCTACCATCTGTGAGACTTTGAGCCAATTATTTGAGCACCCTGTGCCTCAGTTTCCTGATCTATAAAATAGGGATGCTATTTAAAAGAACACAGGGGCTTATTTATGGGAACATACCTATGGATGTTCGGGTTTGGGGCACTCATCTGGCCAAAGTTAGGCAAACCTAGATATGATAGCTGAGGTCAAACCTGGGACTCACCCACAAGCCATTTTGTAGGAAGTCAAAGTCACAGGCACCAACCTAAAGGGCGCAGATGTGGACCCACATGACCAGACACAGGCCTGGGGGTTGAGGGTGAAAGACCCTTAGCTGTACATGCAGGTAGCTGGGATAGTATATATTGGCCCATTCTACACCAGTCCCTGAGCCGGATCCATGATGTTCAAGATCAATCATCAAGTTTCACATGTGGGTTCATGCACATGGTGGGAGTGCCCTGCACATCCATGCAACACACACACACACACACACACACACACACACACTCTCTCTCTCTCTCTCTCTCTCTCTCTCTCACACATCCACAGGATGGAATCATCTTCGTGGATACAACTGGACATTTCCAGGTCACAGGCCCACAACCCTGTACCCTGGGCAACGTGGCTGTGTCCCCCCACAAGGTCACAGCTGTGCATATAGGCATCCACACTGGGCTGGATTTGCATGGCGGGACTCAGTACCCCTCTCTGCCCACCAAGGTCAGGAACTGGACCCAAGGTGCTGGCGAGGCCTGGAGAATGCGGATGTGGTGGAGAGGCTTAACAAAGGAGGGCTGAGGTTGTCCTAGGAGCAGGGCGAGGGTGCTGGCTGAACAGCTGGGCACCAGGCTGCACCTGGCCAGTCCGAGCTGGAAGAGGGCGGAGGCTTCCGCTGGGTGCAGCTGGCAGGTGGGAGGCAGAGGAGGGAGAGCACAGGGAGAGCCCCAGGGAAGGCTGGAGGCATGGGGGAGATGGGGGGCCCTGGGCTCATGTGGGGGAATAATGGTTAATGAACATCTAACCCCCAATTTCTCCAGGGCAGAGGCATCAGGTTACATTTATTTCTCCCAAGGGTGGTGGCAGAGCCTGGTCTGGAGCTCACCTGCCACCCGGCCCCCTCCCTTGTCAAACGAGGGCCGTGGCACCCCCTGCCTGTGGAGGTTGAATGTGAATGCCAAGCGCTGTACCTGGCACATGCTAGGTGCTTGGAAGTGCGTGCTCACCTCATGGGTACTGCATGTGAGCCTCACAACAGCCCCATGATGTTAGAAAGGCTGTTGTTAAACCCAACTCACAGATGCATTAAGGAACTGGAAAGTGGCAGAGGTGGGACTTGAACTCAGAATCTGTGCTCTTGGTGCCTCACCCTTGACGAGTGCTCATTATATGCGTTACCTACATTAGACCATGGAGACACTGCGTTGTCGCCACAGGTAGGTGCTGTCTTATACAGAAGGCACTTGAGGCCCAGAGAAGTAAAGCAGTGTCCTCAAGGTCACACAGCAAGGAAGGGGCAGCAGAGGGATCCAAACTCAGGTTTGTGTCACCGGAACTGTGTGCTCTGTCAGGGCAGAGAGAAGCCCCAGGTGGTGCACCTCCAGGGCCCCTGACGGCTCTCAGGTTGGCAGGGAGCTCGGCTGGGCTGGGAGCGGGGTTATTAGGTGGCCTTGGGGTGAGGTAGGGGCTGGCAGGTCCCAGGGCCCAGGTGTCCTGGGGAGGGGAACGCTGTACTCCCATAGACTTCACTCCCTCTCACCTGTGGAGATCAGCAGGAAGGAGGAGAGGGTGAGCAGAAGCCACATTGTGGAGGAGGGACCAGGGCTCAGCTGAAATCTGTGGCGGGGAGAGTGAAACCTGGGGTGAGGTTGGACCCTTCTGCCCCCACCAGGATGCTTCTGGGCACTGACTCCGTCTTCTCTGGCCACCACTCCTGAGTAAGTGCCTCCCTTGTCACCTGCTCCTCTGCTGCCACTGCCCAGGCCCCCTGTCTTTGTTCCTCTAGCACTAGGACAGCCCCAGGTGCCCCACAGCCCGTCAGACCCCAGCACCCTGCCAGCAGCCTGGGGGTCTCTCACCATCCTCCATGCTTTGGCCTGGGCACCCATCCCAGCCTCGGGTCTGGCCTCTTGGGTCGCCCTCCAGCCCAGCACTCTCCCATCCCGCCCCCCAGGCCCCAAGGGTCTTTCTGCACCCAGCCCTGTCTGGACCCCGAGTGACCCCAGGATAAAGTCCCAGCCCCTCAGGCTCACTTTTGAGGACATGAGTGGCCCATGTGGCCGGTCTCCCACGACCTTGACCTTGTCCAACCTCCCTGCCCCTCTGGGGCGCCTGCCTCTCCCATCACACTGAGAACTGCCCGTGAACAGACCGGTCTGAGGAATCTGACTTCCGAGGACTGCCCGGTGCGGGGCCTGACCCACGGGAGGCCTCGGCGAGCTTTGGGAGTGAATTAAAGTCCTTGTCCTCATCTTCCAAATTAGAATTGGTCCCGTGAGGCTCACCTGTCTCCTCTCCTGGGAGGCCCCAGTACCTAACAGGTGTCTTCTGGGCCCCACAGTGCCTGTATTGCCCCCATTACCACATAGATGCCTGAAGATGCTGCAGTGTGGCCTATCTCCGCATCCCACCCTTTTGGGGTCCTGATGGGGGGCTCCTCTCCGTGTCCCCAGCACTGCCCAGCCTGGGACCTGGCACCTGGGAGGTACTGGGAAAGTCACTCTGAACTGGCTTGAACCGTGCGTGTCCTCCTGAGCTCGTCCTGGCTCTGGGACAAGGACAAGGAGGTATGTCCTCCTGATTCACCCCATTACCCCCACTCCTTCTGGTGGCTCCAGGATATTTTCTTCGTTCAGGTTCAACTCAGAGCCACAGTAAAGAACACACGGACCTAACCAGTGCCCTTGACACTCATGGTCTGTGTCTCCCCCCTGAGACCAGGGCACTGCGTATTTCCCTCACCACCCCCTTCCCAAGTTCTTTCTCAAAGATCTCACGCCCTCTGGATCCTGCAGCAGCATCTAGGGCAGCTTGGATGACAGAAGAAGGGGAGCAGACACCAGAATGCCTGAATTTATAAGCTTCCAGCCCCACCTGGGTCTAGAGATGCGGTGAGGGGGTGGGGTAAGAGGTGGCTGTGAGGTTTACAGGCAGAGACGCCTTGATGGCTGGTGGGGTGGGGTACTAGGTCTAATGAGCATTTATTAGGCTGAAGTTTTGTCTGAGTCTATAAGAAGGCATTTCCCCCCCAGGGGCAGTTCCTCCAGGGGACAGGGTCAGGCGTACAAGAGCAGAAAATTGGAGGACGTCAAAATATAGAGCTTCGAATTTGGGGTCTTGAGTGTGGGGACTGTCGTGTTCCTTCAGTAGGGCTCTGGATCTTGGATTCTGGGTTTGGGATTCAGATTTTAAATCTGGCTCTTGAGTTCTGGATTTTGGGGTCTTGAGTTTGGCATTCATGACCTGAGGTCTGGAGTGTGGATTCTGATGTCTTGAGCTGTGGGATCTGGGATCTGGAACTGGGCCCTGGAGTCAGGTCTTGGAGTGACCTACGAGGTCTTGGGCTTGGATTCTGGATCCTGGCCATTTGAATCTAGAATCCATGTGAGGAGTTTGCAGTCTTGTGTTTGGAACCTGGGACTTGAGCTTGAGATCTTTTGCACGTGCTGTGTGAGGCCTGGGCCCTGGAGTACAAATGGCAGCCTTTGGATTTTGTATTTTGGTGTCTTGATTCTAGAGTCTGGGTCTAGTCTCTGATACCTGGAGTGTGAAGCACGGAGTTTCAGATCTTCCTTGCACATTTAAGAGGCAGTGCTGGGAGATGGGCGTGGTTTCTCTGATTCTGAGATTGCTAGAATCTTGAGTATTGAATACGAGTTTAGAGACTGGGAACCTGGGGTCTTCATTCTGGACTGTGCAGTAGTCATCCTGCATTCTGGAGCTTGAAATCTGGATTCTGCATTCTGGAAGCCAGACATCAAGCCTAAGATGATCCAAGGCTTCAGGTATTTGAAGCTGGCTTCTGGTGTTTCAGAACCCTAGAGGGCCCTGAGCAGTTGTCTAGAGTAGAACTAATGAGTAGGTCCAGAGAGCAGGCGGGACCTACATTAGGTCATCAGGCAAAGGATGGGACCTATGATACACACGGTCCCGCCCCATGCCTGGAAAGCCATCACCTGTATGGGAAGTAGCTGCATGATTGTCACTCAGCCCCTGTAAGAACAGAGGCCTTCAAAATCCCTAGCATACCATACTTTTAGATTCTAGGACCACAGGGCCCAAGACATTCTAGCAGCCTAGGACCTTAGACAGGTTGGAAGCTAAAATGTAGGATTGTGTAGACCCACCGGGCTCCCTACACGCGGGAATCCTGGAGCTTCCCATGAACTGGAGGCCCGTACAGGCAGGCATTGTAGAAATTCAGGTCTACAGACTTTGTACAAGCCCAGACTCGCCAACATTCTGGACCCCCAGGCCGGGAGCATCTCTAGAACCCCTTTGTCCCTCTGTTGGCCCACAAATTCATGCTCAGTGTCTTAGGGCCACATGCTGGGCCACAGCTTCGCTGGTGCAGTGCATTTATGCGGTGCCCAGGGCTTTTCTGGCTAGGCCCCTTGCTAAGGGCTCCTTGCATCAGCACCGCGAGGAGGTTAATATAGAGGAAACTGAGGCCCAGAGAGAGAAGACACAGGCAAAGGGCATGCAGAAATCAAGAAGCCAAGGGCCGAAGAATCCGGGGTTTGACCCCACGAACAGGCTGGTGCCCCCGACTCCCAGCCACCTGCGGGAGGAGGTACTAATAATACTAGAGCAAGAACATCCAGGGCTTCCTGGTGCCAGGCCTGAGCTAAATACTTTCCGTCACCACTGCACGTGCTCTTCTGTCTAGAACACGCCGGGAGGTAGTGACAGGTTCCCCCGACACAGTGGGGACCCCAAAGCGCTCCCACCGTGCAAAGCCCAGCTGAGAGCACGGGAGCCCCGCCCACGCGATCACGCCGCGCCTCACAACCCCGCCCACACGATGACCGTCACATAAGCCCCGCCCAGCTGCACCAGCGGGATCTTGAAGTGAGGCCTCCCGAGAGCCACCCCACACCCAGTGTCCACAGGGTCTCACTCACTCACTCACTCACTCACTCACACATGGTGCTCTAACTCTTGTCTTCCCAGACCCTCCCTAGGACAGCCCACTGTCCACCTAATCAGATGGACAGACCCGAACCCCGCACCGTCCTCACCCCTTCCCTCCCTTCCCTCCTGCAGCTCATTGGTCCCCAGCCCTTCCCTTCTGCCCCTGCCTCTCTGCCCTGTCGCCTCCTCTCTGCTCGTTGGCCTGCCTCCAGCACAGCTGACCCTCTCCCTCTCTCCCCGCTCCCCCGCCCAGAGCGTTGCTCCTCTGCTCACAGCCCATTCATCTGGGACAAAGCCCGAGCCCCTCAGTCTGGAGTGCAAGGCCCTTTGGGAAGCCCTTGCTGGAAGGGGCGCCCCTCGATTCGCTGCCTCAGGGACAGCCTCTGCACCTGCCGCCGTAGCCCGGCTGGCAGGGCTCCCGCTGTAGGAAGGACTCTCCAAGGCGCGGCCCGCCTTTAATATAAACCCCCAACAACCTCTGTTCTTCATGGGACTGGTCTGCGGGCTGTTTCAGCTCTGAATTCAGACGGCCTCAGTTCAGATCTGGTTGCACTGCTTACTAATTTGGGAGACCTCAGTGTCTTAGTTTCTCATCCTTTAAAACCCGATCATCAGAGGACCCCGAACAGCCATCATCAACATCGTCATCATCCTCATCCTCGTCGTTCCTGTGTCCCCTGGGGTCAGAACCTGGGGAGCAAATGGGGTCCAGGCTAGAGGAAGTCATGTTCCTCCATCTTGCAGGCCTGACACCTTTCTCAGAATCACTGAACCCACCCCCCTCTTTTTTTTTTCCGGTACTGGGGATCGAACTCAGGACCTTGCGCTTGCCAGGCAGGCGCTTGTGCCACTCAGCTGTATCCCCAGCCCCCTGTTTTATTTTTAAAATTTATTTTCTTTGTGGTACTGTAGATTGAACCGAAGGCTGTCACACTGAGCTACATCCCCAGCCCTTTATACCTTTTGAGACAGGGTCTTGCTAAATCACTCAGGGTGGGCTTGAACTTTTGATCCTCCTGTCTCAGCCTCCCAGCCTGCTGGGATTATAGGCGTGCACCACTTAAACCTTTTATCAAGACCCCTGTTTCACAGATAGGGTAACTGAGGCCCAGGGAGAGGAAATGGACATGAGAGTGATGTCAAATGGGGAGAATACCACACGCAGAGCCTAGCTTTTCTCTTAGACTTTTTATCTTGGTCTGTGCTGAGGGAGGAGGCAGAAACCTGCCTTTCTTCTTGTTGTCTTGAAGACTGCTGCCCTTAGGGGGCACAAACAGCTTGCTCTTGGGAGGTTTGCTCCTCTTAGGAATGAGGGGATGAGCTGGGACCTCTGAATGTGAGGGAGCAGGTTAGTCCTGAACTCCTGGGTCTGAGGAGGAGGCTGGGCTTGGAGGCCTGGGTATGAGGCAGGAAGAGGAGGGATTCCAGGGCTTGTTTATCACTGGACATGGAAGTCACTGATTTTTAAAATGCAGTCATATTAGAGAAGTAATTCAGAAACCCCACAACTAATATGAAAGCTCATCCTCCTTCAGATTCTGCTTCTGCAGAATTATACTTGGTGCTCAAATCTGTATCAGGGTTCTTTAGAGAAACAGAAAACGTAAGAACTACATATACATACCTGTCTATACCTGTCTACACAGTCACACACACACTTATGGCGGGGGAG